GGTAAAAAAAAAAAAAAAAAAAAAAAAAAAAAAAAAAAGGGAGGATAGGTTTGCAGCTTGCTTGCAATGAAGACCAGAAAGGAAAACACGGAACAAAGGGCCAAAGGAACAATATTGCATCTAACCTGATGAATCAAGTCTCGCCACTGTGGTCCCATGTTTGATACAAGAGATTGTTAGTGCAGCGCAGGTGACACTTACAGGAACGAGAGCTGAGTTAGTTTTGACACGCCAGTGGGGAAGCTTCCAGAGAAGGTATTGTTCCCAAGGTCACTGATTGAGGGAGCACGGGTCGTTTGGTGCATAAATGGTGGCAAGAAGAGGATCTGAGTTAGTTTTGACACGCCCAGTTGGGAAGCTTCCATTAAAAGTATTGTTCTCAAGGTCACTGATTGAGGGAGCAAGAGCGGTGTTGGTGCATGCATGGTGGCAAGAAGAGGATTTGTTCTCAAGGTTTCAAAGGAAGGAGCATGCAAGCGTGGTTTCAGAGGAAGGAGCAGGAAGGTGCATGGCGAAGAGAAGACGAATTGAGAGGGAGAGAGGCGCCTACAAAGGAGTGATAAACTGTTCTGGAGACGTCACAAAATCAAGATGTTCTTGAAGAGGAGAGGATAGAAGTTGCAAGTCATGGTTTGAGACTAATGGAAGCGTTTTGAGACGTCTCAAAACACTCCTTTTTTCATGAGACTAATGGAAGCACACCAAGAGAGGGAACGTTTGATTTAAAGACGCCTCAATGAAAAGACTGAGCGGAGAGAAGCAGCGTGAGTGAGAGGGTTGGGAGATCGAGCCGGAGAGCGAGTGAGAAGTGAATGTGTGAGAGAGTTGGGAAAGAGTTGGCAGAGTGTGACGAACAGAATCTGCATATTCGTGAGCGCACTCAGAGATGGGGGTAACGTTCCATTCATCTGGTTGTGAAGCAAATCGCTGCGATGAGGGGAGGAGAAGCAGAGATTGCTGACAGGTATTTGGGATATTTGTCAAAAGGGAAAGAAGAATTTAAAATCGGACAGCGCACTCAGAGACGCGGGTAATATTCCATTCATTTGGTTGTTGAGAAGATTGCTGCGATGAGGGGAGGAGAAGCAAGGCAATGGTGGGTGGGAGGCAAGGCAATGGTGGGTGGGAGGCAAGGCAATGGTGGGTGGGAGGCAAGGCAATGGTGGGTGGGAGGCAAGGCAATGGTGGGTGGGAGGCAAGGCAATGGTGGGTGGGAGGCAAGGCAATGGTGGGTGGGAGGCAAGGCAATGGTGTGTGGGAGGCAAGGCAATGGTGTGTGGGAGGCAAGGCAATGGTGGGTGGGAGGCTAGGCAATGGTGGGTGGGAGGCAAGGCAATGGTGGGTGGGAGGCAAGGCAATGGTGGGTGGGAGGCAAGGCAATGGTGGGTGGGAGGCAAGGCAATGGTGGGTGGGAGGCAAGGCGTCTAATTCCGAGGCCTCTCAAATCATATCTCAACAGTTTGGTGGCAGAGAAGAATTGTGTACAGGACTTGAAGGCGGGATAAGTAGCCGATGGTGGGAGGCAAAGCACCCTCAATGAAGTTGGATGAGAGGTCGCTGTGAGTGGGCGAGGGGTGGGGAGAGAGAGTGAGGAAGAGAGGGATGAAGAGAGATGAGATTTGAGTTCTTTACAGGTGCCTCAGAGGCCGATGTGGGAGTAAACTTGGTTAGTGGCAGTAAAGGCAGGAATGCTTACAGGATCTGATGCACTTCGAGGGTGGATAAGGAGGCGATGGTGGAAGGCAAGCCATTTAGTTTTTGAGACAACTCTAATCCATACCGTTTAGTGGCAGTGCAGAAACGCGTACAGGACTTTAAGGTTGCATAAGGAGGCAATGGTGGAAGGCAAGGCACTTAGGGCGCGTGTGATCTATTTTCAAGTTCGGAAAAAAAGTCGAACTTTGTGTGGTTACCAGCTTCGCCAATGTCGTCAAGACGCTTTGGCGAAGGCACGAGAATTTTGGGGGCACATAAGTGCGAATGTCAAATGTGAACTCAACTCGAATCACACGGGTGAACGTGCGGGTGCACGTGAGGCGAGTGTGTGTTGTTTCAGCACATACGAAAGCCATCCGAAAATCACGAATGCTTTGCGAAGATCGCGGAGCTTCGTCGCACACTAAGTTGGTGTGTCGTGCTGTACCAGGTAACCTACACCCCGTACGGGCGGCTCGCCGCCTTCCCTAGAAGGTCGAATCTCTGTGTTCGACCTTGGGTGTGTGATTGTGACTCGTCTGTGTTGGAGACCCAAGATTCGAACTTCGCTGCAAGGAAAGTCGAGTTTTGTTCAAATGCTACATTCGATCTAAAAACATAAACTTTCACAGATTTGTAAGACAAGACCACACGCGCCCTTATTCTTTGAGACATCTCAAATGGCGTTTATCTTAACACAGTATAGTGGCAGTGCAGAAACGCGTACAGGACTTTAAGGTTGGATAAGGAGGTGATGGTGGAAGGCAAGGCACCGTCTAGGTCGTTGTATGAGAGGTCGCTGTGAGTGGGAGCGTGGGGGGGGAGGGAGAGAGGGAGAGATAGGAGGAGATGTGAAGTGGAAAAAGGGTTCTGAGTTCTTCTGAGAGCTAATGGATGGTGGAAGGCAAGGCACCCTCTCTAGGTCGTTGTATTGTATGAGAGGTCGCTGTGAGAGTGGAGAAAGTGGGGGCAGATGGGGAGAGGGAGAGATAGGGAGAGGGAGGGATGGGGAGAGGGAGGAATAGGGAGAGGGAGGGATGAGTTATAAGTTCCTCTGAAATGCCTCAAAAGACGACGGAGGAAGGCATGGCAGCCTCTAGGACGTAAAGGTCGCTGCGAGTGGGAGAAGGGGGGTGAAGCGATGGGGAGAGCGAGGGAGAGGGAGAGGGATGGAGAGGGAGAGTTGGGGAGAGGGGGGGAGAGAGAGTGAGATGGGAAGAGGGAGGGAGAGGGAGGATTGGGGAGAGGAAGAGAGAGGAAGAGATGGGAAGAGGGTGGGAGAGGGAGGGAGAGAAAGAGTTGGGGAGAGGGAAGGAGACGGAGAGATGGGGATAGGAAGGGAGGGGGATTGTTGTTGTTTGTTTAAACTTAAAACCTGCACGTCAGTACCCTCCACATTCGTACAAAGGACCCTTTGAGGGAGAGATGAGGTTTCAGTTTTGCTGAGATGCCTCAGAGGGTGATAATGGGTATCCTTTAGGATGAATTTTGAGGCGCCTCAAAAGTCGTATCCCCTAGGATGGATGTCGCATGAGAGATTGCTCTGAGCGAGAGGGAGGGAGAGGGAGAGGGAGAGCGAGACAGAGAAAGGAAGGACGGAGGGAGAGATGAGTTTTGAGCTCTTTTGGAGAACCTCAAAAGCGGATGGTGGAAGAAAAGAGTTCTCCAGGACGCTTGTTGTATGAGTGGTTGCTACGAGAGTGAGTGGAGGAAGAGATAGGGAGAGTAGAGGGAGAGTGCGAGGGAGAGATAGGGAGAGTGAGTAGAGGGAGAGTGCGAGGGAGAGATAGGGAGATGGGGGGAGAACAATAAGATCAGATAGTGCATCATCCAATCCTTCCCATCCGCCAAACACCGCATCCATTTCCCCTCCACTCTCCCCTCTTCCCCGATAACGACCCCCCCTTCCTCCTCCCCCTTTTTCCTCACAGTGTCTGCAGCAGGGGAAGCTGCCCTAGGCTGGCAGGGATGGGGCCTGACAACGAGTTGTAGCTCAGATCGCTGGTGGTAGGATGGGGATGGGGGATGAAGAGATTGAGCGCCTAAGGGAAGAGGCTTTTGAGAATTCTCAAAAGTCATACCAATATAGGGGCAAGAGCAGCAATCAGCTTTCTGGTAACACGCGTGCCTTTCTCTTATCCAGCTTACTCATACCCCTTCCCTTCCCTCCCCCCCTTTCTCTCTCTCACAGCCTCTGCAGGGATGGGGCCCGACCGAAGCTTGATCCAAACCTTTGTTTTATTCCCGCATCCCCCCCTCCACCCCGTACCCAGCTCACTGATATCCCTTCCTCCCTTCCCCCCCCCCCCCCCCTCCCCCCCTTCTCTCACAGCCTCTGCAGCAGGGGAAGCTGCCCTATGCTGGCAGGGATGGGGCCTGACAACGAGTTGTAGCTCAGATCGCTGGTGGCAGGGCCGCGGTGGGGGAAGAGGGGGGCAGTGGAGAGGAGAGGGGGGAGGGGTTTGAGTAAGCTAGGTTTGAGGGGTTTGAGGGAGTGAGTGGCAAGCAGATGCTGGGGGAGCGGCGGGGGGAGTGGCACGATGCTTGCAAGGATGGGGCCTGACAACGAGTTGTAGCTCCTCAGATCGCTGGTGGCAGGACGGGGGGTGGGGGAGGGAAGTGGGGGGCCGAGGGAGTGTGAGGCAAGGCGAGGGAGCAGGGAATAAGTGTGGCAAGGTGAAGGGGCAGGGTGAGCTGGCTGGCATATGCTCGCTCGCAGAAGACGGAGAACCCTAATTTCTGAATTGAAACATCATAAGCAACTCTCACAGTGTAACTAGCGTAGTGAGGTTGCCTATAACGGAGCAGATGCTTCCTTCCAGACCAGTACTAGACAAGTCACTGCAGGGCATTGCAAGCAGCAACAAGGGAACAGCAAAAACAGGAAGGGGAAGTAAGCATGCAGCAAAAACTTGAGAGAACAAGAGCGAGTTAAGGGGACGGAGACAGAATGTCACATGTGTATGCATTTTCCATTTTGCGCCATCTCAAAATGCATCACAAGAGTGCAATTTGGTCCGTGCGTGTTTTAGGTTGGGTTGCTGCATTTCAATGGAGCTTATGCGTTTTGAAACGAGCGTTCGGACAGACAGATTTATCTCTTTTCCCCGACCCTTCAAAGCACAGAGCGCAGAGTGTTTTGTTTGCTTACTGCCTAGTGTATGTGCATACACGATATACCGTTTCACTGTTCACAGGTCGACGACGCACAGGTCCGCTGATGATAGGATTAGCCGATCAGATTCATCTCCACTGCGAATCTATAACGCGTATAAAGTGCTGGTTCGTCTCTGTGGATAACTCACATAGTGTTGACTGTTCCGTCAGCGTTGCACACCAGGCCTTCGTCCGTCGTGCACGGAGCGTTCGGTTCCCAGTTGTAATCCGTCGCACCCAACTCCACCGCACATTCCGCCAATACCTTACCTGGACACCCAGGGAACAGTGGCGGGGGTGACGAGGGAGAACCGGAAAATTATTAATCAATGAAGCATCAACGTGAGTCAATGGAGAATTATTAAGAGGAATGGTGTCGTGCAGCGCTTTTGAAATCACGCTCAAGGTACTTTTGAGATGATTTCACAAGCCCTGTCTGTGTGTACCGAATGAAATTGAATCACACTCGAAACGGATAAAGGCACGCGCGACACAAGACCGCGGCGATACAAGCACAAACCTTGCTCTTGCTCCAAGACGACGGCTACGGAAACTGGCGAAGAAGTAAAAACGATCGAGCAGACAAGGAGCGGCAGGAGCAACGAGACACGTGCTAACGAAGCTAGGGATTGCCGTCCTCTGCGCCGGAATACGCGACATGCGCAGATACCGCTTCGACGCCGTTGACATTCTAGATCCCCGACGGTTACTGCTTTCTGGCAGTCATGGCGATTAGCAGTGGATGTATGACGCAAACGCTGCTGCTGCTGCCTCGGTCTAGATGCGCTGCTAGCATCTCCATTTTTAAAGTTTAACACATTCTGCGAGCGCGTTCTGCACTGCGAAGCGTCGTCCATGCCGCCTACTAGCACGCGGACTCGACTTTCAGGCCGCGACGACTGATGTCTAGCCTAAGAGGCAAGTAGCAGCATCACTATAGCAGTAATAAGCATCTACCGCTTTCACATATGCACAGTCTTGCTTCGCGACGGTCTAAAGAAAGGTCCCCCGATATCCTGATTCCTGAGCTGCTGTAGGAACAACAGCACTCACCGCCGCGCAACACTTCACCAGAGGTGCTTAACAGTGGGAGATTTTGCGTTGCATTATCAAACGAGCGTTACAATGTGGTGCTTTATGCCTCCAGAACGGTACAGAAGCTTTTTACTTTTTGTCGGTGAGGCCTTGGAGGGATGATTGGGTTCAGAAAGTGAAATCAGGTTAGGCATGAGCGAGGCGTGCCAAGCCAAAGCCTATTTTGGCTGAGGTTCTGGTCTGGAGGGGTGCAAGCGTGTGTTCACGAGAACTCGCGGCATCTTGTAACTGTCTCTGTGAACTAGTCGTGAGGTGCCCTTAGGGTGCGTCAGATCCGCTACAATGTGATTTGGCTGCAAATTTGTCGCCCTTTTGGTCGACTCCTTTTTTCGTCAAAGTCGACAGAATGGTCGAATGCTAAACCGACCACCATCCAGCCACATTTACAAGGTGTTGAAATCTGACAGATTTGGTGGCCGATTTACAGGCCGGTTTGCAGAAGTGTCAAATTTACAGGTCGCACAGTTGGCCGGATTGTGCGACGGAGTCGCACGTATTGTTACTGAAGTGACACAACCTGTTATGAGTTGTATGAAAGAAGAGTGCGCAGAATGCAATATCGCGGAAGTGATTACAACTACTGAGCAAACAACAGGGCCTAGGCATAATATAGCATAGCTAGCTAAGCCGGGATCGCGGAGTCACGCGAAGGTTGGGTGTAGGTTTGGGTTTGGAAAACCCGAAGGCGACGCAGAAGACGTTCGGAAGGCGAGGTCGACAGACCGAGCCTGAATTCCGAAAATTGGGGTTGTACGCGTAAGAGGTGCCTCAGTAAGGAATTGGCGAAAATTCCTTACACTACCCCCCCCTTCAAGAAAGGTGGTCAACATCAGGCACGTGCCGGCGAGCAAGATATTGCCGAAGGACCGAGTGCCCTTGTAGTGAGTCAGCCGGGACCCACGTGTCGTCGTCGGTCGTGCGATCCACCCAGCGCAGGAGAAAATCGACGTGTCTTCCAGCGGGGGTCGCACGAGTGCGATGATCCAAGATCTTCCAAGGTTGGAGTGTGGGATCTGCCACCGGTCGGACACTTGGCGCCTGGTGGGGTTGAGCGACGTCAGATGACTGGGGTGCCACGTAGTGGCGAAGTAGACTGACGTGGAAAGCGTCATGAATATGCCAGTCGTCCGGGAGGAGAAGTTTCGCAATGACCGGTGTCAGCATCCGGATGACGCGGAAAGGCCCCACGTAGCGTGGACATAGTTTTGCAGGTTGGGGCAGTTTGAGGTTTTTGGTGTCCAGGAGAACCATCTGCCCCTCGCGAAAAGGTAAATTGCGGCGATGTTGGTCAGCGTAGCGGCTGCCGTTCGAATTTGATTTTCGGATAAAGTCCGCTGCTTTGGCGCGCGCTGCCTGGAGCTCCGAAATAAACTGCTGTGACCTGGGGACCGGGTTGTCGGGAGTCGTTGATGAGGGTACCACCGGGTCTATCCCGTAATTGAGGTAGAAGGGTGACTGCTTGGTCGTTGCAGATGGGGCGTTATTGTACGCAAACTCGAGCATGGGAAGGGAATCCTCCCACTTGGTGATGTCCGGGCAGTTCGTGCGGATCAGCTGCTCCATCGTTTGGTTAGTCCTCTCTGTCTGTCCGTCGGTTTGCGGGTGGTAGGACGACGAAAATTGCAGGCGGGTGCCGTACTGTGCCCATGTCTCTGTTAAACCAAAGAAGGAGAATGACTATGAACGAAGTGAGTACAAATAGGAAACCCTAATTGGGTTGTACCCCCTATGGGATACCCCACTATAGCCTACAGAAACAAGTAAGCTATAAGTTCTGACACACCCCCATAGGCAAAGTGGGGGAGAACAAGGGGTCACAAGACCAGTCAAGCAAAGCAAAGCAAAGCTCAGGGTGGATCACAAAGTCACCACACATTCCGAGCACAAGTTCAAAGGCCACAAGGCCAGTTCACATGCAAGATCATATATAGAGATATACAAGAGCAAGAGTATACATATGCGAAAGTACAAGCAAGGTCAAGAGGAGAGCAAGTGAGGCAAGACAGGCACAAGACCCAACTGCGTGCAGCAACGCTGATGATCACAAGGCGCAAGTGCCTTGGTGAACACATCAGCAGTGTTGGCCTCAGAGGCCACGTACGCAAGTCGCAGCTGTCCACGCTGCTGTAGCTCACGAGCAAGAAAGTAGCGAAGAGCAATGTGCTTCGTTCTGTGCTCCAGTCGCTGCTCTCGACACAAGGCCAGCATGGCCTTGTTGTCTACGTACAGGACTGGAGGAGAACGAGGCTGCTCTCCAAGGTCGGTCAGCAGGTAGGTGAGCCAGCGTAACTCCTGTGCAGCCATAGCCCCAGCGTAGATCTCAGCCTCACAACTGGAGCCGAGAACAGAAGACGAGCGGGTAGCCCGCCACGAGACAGAGCCGGAACCAAGGCTGAAGGTGTAACCCTGTGACGACCGCTGCGTAGCCTGGTCGTCAGCCCAAGAAGCGTCTGCGTGCCCAGTGAGGACCACTGGACTGCGCCCTCCAAGCACTAGCCCCATGCCCGACGTACTGCACAAGTAGCGCAACACCCTCTTCGCTGCAGCCATGTGCTCTGGTCGGTGTCTCCCAGGAGCAACAAAGCGTGCGAGAATGCTAAGAGGGTATGCGAGTTCAGGTCGTGTGCAGGTCATCAGGTACATGAGGCAGCCAACAAGCTCTGCAAACGGGCCACTCGACTCTACGGACTCATCCGAAGGCAGAGCTGAGAGCGAGTGGCGAGTAGGCAGAGGAGTGGCCTGAGGCGAGGAGTACGTGAAGCCGAAGCGCTGAAGGACCTGCTGCACCATGTGTGACTGAGTCAGGGTAATGGTGCGGCGTGCTCTGTCCCGGGTGATCTGCAAGCCAAGGTAGCTGCGCAGTTCACCCAGGTCAGTGCACGTGTGTCTCTTCTGCAGCTCGGACTTCACGTAGGCGAGTCCAGCAGTGTCAGCTGTGGCAAAGACCAAGTCGTCGACGTACACGAGGATGTAGAACGGCGGCAGAGAGGTGTCGGTGCGCAGAAACAGCGACGGGTCGGCAGTGGAAGGAGCAAACCCAAGTGCCGCGAGCGTAGTCCTCAGTGTGTCGTGCCACTCACGTGGCGCCTGGCGGAGACCGTAGACTGGACGCCGGAGACTCCACTGGGTACCAGGAGGGAAAGACCCAGTGAAGCCAGGTGGGCGACGCAGCCAGATCTCCTCGTGCAGGCTGCCCTGCAAGAAAGCTGTGCTGAAGTCGAGAGAGTGCAGCTCGTAGTCACGGTGAGCAGCAACGTGTAGCAGAACCCGAAGAGTGGTCATCTTCAAGGTGGGGGAGAAGGTCTGAAAGTAGTCAACCCCCTGCCGCTGACTGAAGCCACGAGCCACATAACGCGCCTTGAAGACAGGCGGAGAACCCGGCGGCCGCTTCACCCTGAAAATCCACATGCCACTGACGATGTTCGCCCCAGGAGGGGGAACAGCGTCAACGTAGGTGCCTGTGGACTTCCAGGAAGCCATCTCTGCATCCATAGCTGCCTGCCACTGAGAGGAGTAGGGACCCTCTATCGCCTCCGCGTAAGAGCGCGGAGTCGGGATGTCTGGTGCATCCGGGTCTCCCTCAGGGGCTAGCAGTACAGACGCGAGACGAGGTGAAGCGGCGGCCAGACACTGGAACTCCTCCTGCCTGTCCTCAAGGACGTCCGTGCCAAGGGCACACTCACCCCCGACGGACGGAGGACAGGCGGACTCAGACTCAGTGACAAGACGAGCAGCGTAGTCTAGACGACAGCGCGCAGCAAAGTCGACAAGCTCAGTGACAAGGGCAGACGCAGCAGACGACTCGAAGGAGGGGTCAGTGACAGCAGTAGCCAGGAGACGCGTGACAGTAGGACTGGCAGCACGAAGAGAGTCTGACTCCGGGTCGGCAAGAGCAGGAAGAGAGGAAGCAGGAGGAGAAGGCAAAGGGGCACGCAGAGGAGCAGTGGACGGACGCAGTGACATCCGGTGCGTGCCAGGGACAGGAGGAGGACGCTGACGCGACCCGCGACCACTAGCGCGCTCAGTACGAACAGGCGACGCAGGACGAGACGCAGGCTCACGACGCTCAGTAAGACCTCCAGTCGGACCAGCGTAGGGAGAAGGAGCAGGCAAAGGGGAGGCAGGCTGTAGCTGTGGCTGTGACCGGACAGGCTGCGGACCCTCTAAGGGAGGAG